TAGTAGTAGTAGTAGTAGTAGTAGTAGTAGTAGTAGTAGTAGTAGTAAGTAGTAAGTAGTAAGTATAATTGGTGAAGCAGGGAAATAGATGTTATAAGATTATAATTCAATGCTGTGTTGATATTATGTTAAGTTATGTTATGTGACGCGATGCTAATGATGTCACAATTTAGCTATTAGCGGGAAACGGTTTCAAACGGTTTCAAACTATTTGTAAGCATGTCAAAGTTTGAAACCAATTGAAACTAATTGGCCCAAATCCTGGCTATATGCTGCTACATGCTTACAAATAGCGGGAAACGGTTTCAAACGGTTTCAGACTAATTCTTAGAAATAGCGGGAAACGGTTTCAAACGGTTTCCTACTATTTACTAACTTGCTCTATGTGTAATCGCACGACTCGCATCATGAAGTTGTTGCTTTAAAGTTTAGCTAAGTAAGTTTGAGTAGTTGTTTACTGATTACCTTTAGTTGAGTGGAATCACAGCAGTCAGGAGTCCAGGGAGTGGCTGATTATATAATAAGTACTTAGTACTACTAGTGCGAAGTCATAGTAAGGAGAAGTCAGGAGAAGTCAGGAGTCCTGAGTCAGGACTCAGGACTCTAAAGTAAAATTAACTGCTGGGATTAGAGTTGGGCCCTGACTTGTGTGGGATTCACTTTTGCTACCCAACTTAAAAGGCTGGCCAAGTCACATGAAGACTGGCCCACTGGATGTCCAGGGACTCCCGCTCTCGCGAGTTCAGGCTCTGTGCAATCTCTCGAGGGCACTGGTCCGTCATGCTGTAGACTGGCAAAGTGCCAAATGGCATCATGCCAAGCTCTTTCTTCATGTGCTTGACCAGCTTCTTCCGTTCTCTGGAGGTCTTGCCATCCTGGGGAAGGTCCAAAGTTCTCAAGTCACAGTCAAAGTCTTTTTTGTAAATAGTTTCCAGGATTTTGGAAATAGTCTCCCTTCTAGTGTAAGTAAAGGACCTTTTCTTGTCCCCCCCCGAAAATTGTCCGACACTCCCGAAAGTTGTCCGACAACCCACGAAAACCCCCGACAACCCCGACAGAGCCCACCACACCCTCCCCTGGCCAAAGGTTTGCGAACAACCCACACTCACACCAGCCCAAAAACTCGTCCTGAGAGATGGGTGGCTTGACATGTTGGGCACCCATACTGTGCAAAACGGCCTTCTCATATGCCATGATGTTGTGAATTGTCTCACGAACAAAGTAACCGTCATCCCCCTCTGCTTTGTATAAGGAATTTGGCAGCACAAGATTGATGATCTCTCCCAATTTCATGGTCAGAGGAGACGGGCAAATATCATCGCGGACCATGATGACATAGATCCGCTTTCTGCTTTGCGCCATATGAAATCTGGATGCCCTGAAGAAGAGCCCCAAATGAAATCATCACTTTACAGATTCTCCACAGACTACCAAAGTCCAGGGGTCAGGACATGACAAGACATGAGACTTAGACTGAAACTTCCAACATTCACAGTTCACAGACCAGCCCCCTTTGATCCCTTACTGGCTCACAGGACAGTTCATGACTTATGGATGGCTCATGGCCTTGTTGCCAACAATCAAGAGTTGAACAGTTGAACGTTGAACTAAATCGTAACTCGCAACATGGCAATGACTGGCAGCAACAGTGACAGTGACTCTGGCTATCCTTTCATGACTGACTCATCCCATGACTTCATGAGTCAGAAAACAGTAAGTAAGTACATCCAGTACATCACAAAGTCAAATTGTGTCCAGATTGGATGTAAGATCTGAAACTCACATTCTGCAAATTCAAGTCATTGAACTTTAGCCAGTGCTGAAGTGATCATGGTTCTAACCACTCACCCTTTTGTTTCAATATTTGCAGGAGAGTTGCTCACAACTTGTGATCAGCAAAGAATATCCCGGGACTAGCGAAAGTCCAATATTCTCAATGTGATCATCGTGCTGGATCTTTCCGTTCATCATGTAGTCAAGTGGCGTTTGTCACAGGGCGAATTGGTGAATGCACAAATCAAGGAAAAACAAGGCTGAGAATGAGACTGACTGTGTTTCTCTACTCCCTAATCCTGCTTGTTAGCTATGTTAGCTTGGCTCTACTGACAATTGCAAAGTAGAGTCTGTGACTCTCATATCATATCACATCACACATCCGTTTCTTCGACCATAAATTCACATACCAATGAAATGCAGGAGGAAGAATGGGGATCGCCGGTCATTGTTCACAGCTCTGCAAAACAATGATTGATGCGCAGCAAACGCAAAGCAACTGTTCATTTTTGAGGTGGCCATGTTACAGCTCTTTTCACCAGGGACTTGAGGCTACTTTAGTAGCCTTGACTCGAATTGACTTGGCACAAAGCTTTGCGTATGGCCTTGACTTGAACTGTCAGCTAGTCTTTCTCCGCATGCTTGCAAGAATGCGAGCACTTTCCTCCCTTACAGTGTTGTCACTGCTTGAGCTGGCACTGGTGAGTTCATCCAATTGCCTCATTGTCTCATCAAGGAGTTCAAATTTTTGCGCAGTCTCAATGAGGCAGTGATTATGAAGCCAGCCATTGGGCCTGAGTTTATTCCAGTACCACTCAAAACGAATCGTATCTCGCCCAATCAATACTTTGCAGTGGTAGCATTTTGCTCGGCCTGTTGGAGCAATGCTTCCACATCCCAAGCCAAGTCGTTGTGAGAAGAATGTTTTTGTTTTGTTCTTTGATTCTGCTGTCGCTGCTGTCCCTTCACCTTGAGTGTATTTGGCCAGTCTCGCTTTGTTCTTGTCTGCTTCCTGAATTTCCTCGGCTACCTGCCACTCTGCTTTCATTTCGTTCTCCATGATTTCAGATATTGGCTCAACTTCATTGTCTTCCTCAAAAAGAGGTGCCACTTCACCACTCCCGTCAATATCGGAAGGGTTCCCACTGGAAGAATTGGAATCAGAGCCACTGTCACTGTCACATTCACATGGCAAATCGTCTGTGGGATCCTGGATCCTTCTTCTTTTTGCCTGGTGCTTGGCACCAGCCCCTGCCTCTGTCTTTCTTTTCCGTGGTTTCCGGATCTCTTTCAGCCCGAATGGCAGCTTGATTGGACGCTTTCTTGAGACGCTCTTGGAGGAGGCAATGTCAACTGTAAAAGATGTCAAAATATGATCAGCATTCACACGAAGCGCTTTCGTGTCATCAATGATAGGCTTGTAAAGCCAATGCTCAACATGTACACTTGTAGCCGTACTTCCAGTCTCAAGCATCTGCAAAAACATATGGTGTGTTGTCGTTATGCACGGAATGGAGCTGTTGGGATCCTGCTGAAATGAAACCACGTCATCTTGAATCGATGCGAGGATAGCCGTTTGCAGGAGTGGCTTCTTCAGAGTAATGCCTGAAAAAAATACATGTGTGTGGTGGTGGTCTGTCAGGGTGAGAGTCAGCAAGGAACCTGACTTGATTTTCCTCTCATCCAACTCCTTGTGCAACCTGTACACGAATTGGTTGGCTTTGTCAAAATGGCAACCGGACCTGCAAAGCCCTCCTGGAAAGCAGTCAAGACTCGAGTCTGCAAGATCTTCAGTGTTCTCTGAATTGTCACCCGCAACATCCTGGTAGACAGCGTGGATGGTATCTCGCAAGAAAGCTGACACTTGATCGTCAGGCGATTTGACATCAATAAGCTCTGCCTTCAATGCACCATCACCTTGGCTGAAAAAGTTGGCAAGATCTCAAGTCTTGGAACTTGGATCTTTGAATTCTCAACTAACTAGTTGATTGGAATATTGATACATGGAGGGTTCCTGGGTGGCCTTAGATAGCTGCAAAGCGTGGGCCCGGTGTGATGTAGAAAGTACCACTACGGGGAGAATATTCTTTCAATTTTGGTGTAGTGGCGGTCATGGACGATTGGCTGACCGACCCATTAACTGATTGTGTGAATGAATGGGTAGTGAGTCACCCGGCCCCCTTACAATTCTGAAACCAAACCCCATCAATAAGGCAGTCAGTCTTTGGAAAAAACTGGCGGCAAAATCAAAATCTAAATAGTCCTGAATTGGTTCTTTAGCAGTCATTGAATCAATGAGTTCATCAATCAGGTGATCGGTGTTCTGATGTCCATGGGTTCAATCACGGACTGAACATGATTCAGAACTCACCATTGCAGTGCCGTTACCTGTGGTTGAGGTGCCTAGCAAGTCTGGGTATCTAGGGCTGCGCTGTGCCTCTCATCTCTTGCTAGAAATTGCTAGTACTGTGCTGCGCTAGTAATATTAAAGTAATAATATAAATGAGTCAGAGTCATAGTCATAGTCTCATAGTTGTCATCATGGTCGTCGTAGTAGTAATAGCAGTAGAAGTAGTAGTAGTCGTCGTCGTCGTCGTTAAATTCTATAATAGACTATAGTCTATAATAGCTAGTCAGAGTCAGAGTCATAGTCTCATAGTCATTGCCCTGGTCCAGTCAGAGTCTGAGTAGAGGAAACCATGGCTAGTGATTGTGAAGGGATATTGACACATGTCAATATGATATTGACATTGACATCCTGATAGCTCTATGGCTGGACCTCCCTTGCTTGCCAAGTTGGTGAAAACTGTAGACGCAAGCAAAAATAGGGCAACCTGTGACTCTTCAGCCTTGGTTTGTCATGGACTGAATCTCGTGAGAGGTTAAGGCAAAAGTCAAAAGTGCCCTGAACTTGAAAAGGTTCTTTCCACCACCTCAAGACCTCAAGCGGTCAAAAACATAAGAAACTGGCCCTGGCGTCCTGGATGTTCTGTCAATGTCACTCAACTCGACCCAAACCCTGAGACCCTGAGAAGTTGGCTGGCTGTGCAGTGCGCGTGGCGGAAGGCAACTTACCACTAATATAAATTATAGTCTATATTTATATATTCTATGTTCCTCTCCTGACTCCTTGCCCTCATCCCCCTCTCGTTGTCTCTCTCCTCCCCTCTTCCCCTCTCTCTCTCTCTCTCTCTCTCTCTGTCCGGCTGTTATATGCTCTTCAACCTCCTTCTTAAAGCTTCCCGCTGCCTGCTATGCTTTCTATTTAGCCTCTAGCCCAAACTGCAACCCGGTGCTGCATCCACTGACACTCATCCATCAATGCAGGATCGAAGAACCGCGCAATCAAACTGCTGTTGAACATGTGCATGGTATATTTGCGCCAACCAGCTAACGGATGGGTCTAGTTGTCAGGATAGTAGGTCCCATGGTCCATGGTGAATGTCCCACCGTTTTGGTTCTTCTTAAGCCAAGAGGCCATCCCCCAATTGCGTGGGCGTTGACCACAAGAAGTGCTGGTTATACAGCTCAGTGTTGAGCTGCAATCTCTTGCCAGACAACTTGGAGCGGCCTTTCCTTCCAACAGCGAGGTCCAGTTCACTCATGCCCTCACCTTTGGCTGGCAAAGGTGTGCCTACCAACTCTTCACGGCACATTTGCTCGTGGCGTGCCTGAATATTCCAAGCAGCTTTGTCATCTTGGCTTAATGACTTCCATTGAGCTGACAGGTTCTGAAGGTGAGACTTGTACTCTGCTGTTCCCATTTGCACGCCCTGTGTGTTCTCCCGTTGAAATATGTTCCATCCAGAAAGCGAACGAACTGCGCGGTGGGCTGCTGTCTGAACTCGTAAGTTCTTCTCCTCACTCGACTCAACAGGTCTCCGCTGTCTGACTTCCTTCACAGGGATCCGGGATCCAGGAGACTCACAGGAAATTACAGGTAGAGAAAGCTTGTAGTAAATTGGACAACCGTGGGTGTTTGAGGAGTGGAAACTTGGGTGTGCAATTGTCAAGGCCATGGCAGCCAAGCACATTGTCACGTTGTAGAGTCTAGAGTAGAGACAAACATTACAGGTGAGTGGGAAGTGAGAAGTCAAAAACCCTAACCCTGCCTGATTGATGGAGTGCTGGTTCCGTGATGATATACCAAGTTGCCTTTCTATGGAGATTTTGCTCCTTCCAGATGGCATAGTTGTTTCAGAAACCTCTTGTTGCGCAACCCCGTGATTCTGAATGCATGTTTGGAGGAATGCAGATTCAACTGCTGTTTTTCCTCGCTTGACATGGGATGATGCACGCTTTGCCACACACCACTGCATGTTCCCATGTTTCACTTCAACTTTGTCAGCATTCATTGGTGAACACTGTGCGACTTGCTGCAGAACTTGCTTGACATCATTGTAGATTCGGTACTGTTCATGCATTGGCTCCTTTGACAAGGAGGTCAAACACTCGGCCAAAATAACCTGTGAGAACTCTGAATCCACACACGAGCAGCAATGACTTGTGCTTTGTGCCTGGACCTGATCAAATTTCTCAACAAATTGCTTTAAAGACAAGTCTTGTGCCAAGATGTCAAACCACTTCCAAGGGTATCTGGAAAACTCAAAAATCATGCGCCGCCAAAGGTCACTCATGCAGGACACGATCAAGCGAAAAAATAGCACCAGTCTTTCAGGTGTTGGACTGAACCCTCCCAAATCAATCATTTCTTGTAGCCCATCATCCAAGAGGAGTACAGTGCGCTCAACCAGCCGCTTTCCAAAAGATCCAGAAGCCATATCAAGGAAGCGTTCCATGCACTCTTTGGCCAGCGTTGTGTATTCTGGATGATGGGAACCCAAATTGGACATGCGGGTCAGCAAGCTTGTGCGCTTGAACAAGGCATTGGAACCATATTCAAGAGCGTTGACAATCACATCGACCATGATGACTGACTGAGGAAACTCAGCTTTGGACACCTGCTCAACAACCTTTCGCCTACGGACACTGTTCTGTAAGCTGAAAGACAGGTCATTGTCAAGCAAATCACCCAGCTCGGTATGTTCCACAGAAGCCCCTGCATTTTGCAGCAGCCCATCCACCAATTTGGAGTCTTGCTCATTTGCAACTGCATTCAACTGAGTCAGCACTTGCGGAAGCAAATGGAAGCAGCAGCAAGCCGTACGAAGATAGGAACTTGCCACAGTGTAGTGCTTAAACCGATAGAGCAAGGGACATTGAAATCCTCGTGAGAATAGCGGGATTGCCACTTCTGTCACTTTTTTTAAAGATTCCTGCTGGCTGTCACAGCAACCTGGCAAACACCAATGAGTAAAGACAGGTTCCATTGAATTCCCATTGAGCAGTTGGAGCAATGATTTCAGCAGATCAATGGCCCCCTTTGCAGTAGGAAAGAACCCTTTCACGAGCCAATCTGCCCGAAGCTTCCAGTTGCTCATCTCATCTGGGAATTCAGACACGGCAATACCTAAGTTGCTTAGTCGAACTTGAACAAACTAGTGAACTTCACTAAGTTCCAGCCAGTCACCAGTGGAATCAAAAATGAACTAGTCTCCAATTCACTACCCTCTCAAGTCCGAAATTTCCAAGTTGTGAGTTTGGTTTGGAGTCTGAACTTGAACTTCTGAACTAACTTTGAGCCCTCCTCAGTTTGGTACAGTTCAGTCGACAGGTTCCGTTTAAGAGCTGGCAATCAGTATTAGGCATGGTCCTGGTCCCTGAATGGCAGCCCTATTACCCTATGACCTCTCTAGAACTTGTTTCTCGAACTTTCTTTCTTTGGTGCCAAGAGACGTTGAAAGCGTCCAGGCTGTTTGAGTATGTGTAGCAACGAAATGCCGAACTGGCGTTTGAAACTCCAATTCTCAAACAAGTGGGCTAGACGCACCACTGTGCTCCAGTAGGAATCAATTGCCAATATTGATGGACGTCGAACTAAGCAAATCTGGTGCAAAAGGCACTTAACTTGGATGGAAAGCTTGCGCTTAGTACCGGCTGCCAATTGGCGACGCTTTTGAATCCTGAAAATGGCACTGTTGGTTTTTGCAGCGTCTCCTACGAAGACATGCAATTTCCAGCCAACCTGCTCCAGCAAATCCTGCAATTTGGCTCCAATGTCTGGTACTGCATTCTCCAATGCTTGGATTCTGTGCCCAATAGGACCATTGGACACAATCAGGTGAGCAGAGTATGCACTGTACACATCGTCAGTCTTTTGGCCTGGTAGGCTTATGAATGGTGTTGGCAACATTGTGCATTCACATGAACTGTCACTGTAAATCACGTGCAGAGTTTGCACAGTGTTTGTCACAGAATGGATAGACCGCATACTGTCCTTGTCTTGGATCCGGGTGGATGTATCATCAAGAATGACACAGTCCAGGACTTGCTCCACTTTTTCCCCAGGTGCTGGAGTCAAGAGCTTTTGCAGCATAAGTAGGAGTTGAATCAAGAAACTCATGACTGCTCTTTCACGCTCTATCCCAATGCGCTGAAACTGGGTTTGCCCAAAAGGATTGTCAGTGTTGAGAGGTGCTATGGCAGAAAACTTTGGGGTAAAATACCTCTCCTGTATCCGTTTTGCCCAGGAATCACTTTTCTCATCACCTTCAACTTTCATATCGTGAAGATCACCTGCTTTCCGCTTAAGTCTGTTCATCAAAGCTGTTTGTCTGGCTTTTTCTGTTCGTCTTTTGTTTGCATCCTTCTTCTGTCTACGCTCTTCGGTCTCTGACTCCTCCACCGTCCCTGTCTCATTTGGCTCACAGGTCTCATCAAGGCACAAGTCCAATAGTGGCATGGCACAGCAGTATGTTGTCTTGCCATTGTCTCGCCAACAAAAAATGGAACATGACATGGGTGATGTAACTGCAACAGTTCATTGCGCTGGTCGTTTGTCGGACCTGCGTCCTTGTGTGTTTGCTTGTTGCGTGTGTGTGTGTGTGTCCGTTTCTTGGTGTTGTTTGTTATGTGTTCTGCAGTCACGTCAATGTCAATGACTCTGACAATGTCAAGTGTCAGTGTCAGTAAAAAAATTGCAACATTATAAGAATAAGTAAGTTAAGCAGTACAGTATTAGTAGTTTGTCATGCGTAGTTTGGAGAGTTGACTGGACCTGGTCACTGGCTGCCTCATTCTGAAATTGAGTGGGTTTGCTGAAACCTCCAACATGTTGCTGCAAAAGCAAACAGATTCAATCTCGAAGCGTTCGTTGCGGCTGACTAGTTCAGAAAACATGCCCACCATGCTGACAGGACGCCCCGGCCTTGTAGCGTTGGTAGAATTCTCCCTTGCACTGCGGTGGGAAGGGAAGCAGCACATCCGCAACCTCAATTGAGGACCAGCACTAACAGCAAAGGACAGGAGATCTTCCAGTGAAGTGTTTTCAAAAAACGAAAACTGTTTTCTTTGCCTTCAACAATGAAATCAAGTTGAAGCCTGTAATCTACTGTTTTGGAAATCTTGGGATGTGACGATCAACTCCTAAATTTGCTTTCAATCACCTCTGCTCAAATGCAGTTCAATTTTAGCTTCAAATCTAAAGCTGGTCACTGGATGATTGGATTCATTGACTCAAAAGTTGAATGAAATTCATTCATATACGGTGATCGGTGCAGCCAGGTAACTTCTTCCATCAGCACCATGGGCGGGCGGTGCTTTCCTCAACTCCAAAGTGTCATTGGAGGGCCCAGATAAAGACACGACTCTTGGGCCTCAAACTTTTCTGAAAAACCTCCGGTACCTAGTCATGAGTCGGAATACAGCACCTGCAAAAATAGCCAACATGACACGACTCAACCCCCAGCCTTTGAGTCAGAAGTCAAATTTGCAAGAATCCAGCCCCACCACTCACAACATCTCACAAACTCAGAACTCACCACCACACTCACAACTTACACCTCTAGAGTCTCGGCCAGCCAACAAGTGTTTTGCTAAACTTTCAAATTGAGTTGGGCAAGTGGGTGAAATGGCATATCTCGACCAAGCTTCTCACATATCGTGAACCAGTGACAAATGGAAAACTGGCAGGATCTGCGAATGGTGCGTAATCATCTGATTTGCGCTTTGTTGACAATCTCGTATATGGGGTGCATGGAGGTCCAAAGGCATAGATGTCTTCCTGCGCGTCCAAATGCAAGCCATCAGTGTGAGTACGAGGTGGCTCTCCTATAGCCACCTGTGATTCAATCCCAGCACAATATCAAATAAGCTAAATAAAATCGAAAACATATCATAAAGAAAATATCTCTATCAGGTGTGCTATGTGATATGACATGTGACATGCGTGTACTGTGTATACAATAAATATGACTCTGACCGTCTGACCTTCAGTCAATCAGGTTTTGTGAGTCCAGTCTTGCTTTCTATTTTTTGTCGTCAAGAGTCACCAGCAGGATCTGCACAATGTGTGTTGTGCAGCAAGCACTTCCCACCACCATGCTCTTGATTCTCGATTTTCTCGAACAGGTGGCCAACTGAGGTTCCACAAAACAAATGAATCATGAATCAATCAGAATCATCACACTCACTACTTGCTGGTAGGGTCCATGTCAAGGTACTATGAGTCCATGAGCTTTCAAGTCTAGGTTTGGGGATTGATTGATTCATCAATTGGGAGTTAGAGTATCATGAAGCCTGGCTTTTTAGAACAATGAAAAGCGTGTGACAAAAGTCTGACTCCAGCAGGCACTCTCTATAGCTCCACACAACTCTGTTTGGCGTTGTCAGCCAACTAATAGTTGCCGTCAAGTCACTCGTGGATGGATAATTCTGCTTCAGGAACTTGATCTTTCCAGGGTCTGACTCGCTGCAGCTCAATGTCTCAGCTTTGAAACCCAACTCATCAGACAGCTGCCGCCTGGCAGTCAAGTCGAAATGTGAGAGTTGGGTGGTCAGCGTTGACATCTTTTGATTCCACGTCAATGTCAATGTCAATGTCTGTCAAAGACTTCACTTCAAAACATAAGTTAATGAATCAATCAGATATAATCAGATCAGACTCTGACTCAGACTCAAAGAAGAGTGAAGTTTACAAGCACTACTACCTCTTTCAAGAGTACAGTAGAGCCCAGAAAGGTTGTTTATTTTTTAGGGTGGAGTATTTGATCTTTGACTCTCACCCACACTCTAAGGTTGGGACAAGCAATACGTCCCTGTAGCTGCTCCAGCACAACCCTCCTTGATCTTGACCCTCAGCAGTCAGCCACAATGTACTGCTGGCTTGGCTAAGTCAAAAGGTGTTGCACCGCCTTTATTGCTCATATCATAACTGTTGGGTTTGCTGTCACGCTCTCCAACCGTCAAAGACTAAACGACCCATGGTTAAGGGGCAGGAACACACACACACATCAACTGTCTTAACTCAGCTCAGGTTGACTGTGTGCTCGGCACAGCTGGTGTATATCTGGGTATAGAAGCCAGTACTTACAATGGTTGTCCGGCAAATTATCCAAACACCGCTTTTCACATGATTGACCATTGCGCGCCATCCAAGATTCGTGATGTTTGCCAAATGGGGAGCCAAATGATTCAGTCCAATCTTCTCGCAGTATAGGTGAGGCCACTGAAATGTTTCAGGCTGTCGAAGGTGCTCTGGATCAGCAGCTCGGGGAGGCATAATCTCATTGGAGCTACCACTCCTCACGACCAAAGCATGGTTGCTTGGGTAAGGTTTGGCATGCCAGTCATATCACATCCATTAGTACATTAGTCATTCATTTTTCAACCCTCACATCAAGGGGCTCAGGCGGGGAATGGGAAAAAGGCAAGGGCCAACTACCGAAGACATGATTGAATCAATCCAGAGTTCTCACTTCTGACTTCTCACCTCACTCTGACTTGATACATCTAGTAAGACGATATCCGATTGAATAGCTAGACTAGACTAGATATACAAATTCTCAATCTCACAGTGTACTCTGAATCATGAGTTGAGTTGTGAGTTACTGAGTCTCACAAGTCCAAGTTTCTCAGAATCACTTGAAGGATCATCAAGGCGCAACAGGCTTTGTGCCAGGGATGCGCAGCCAGACTTGTCTTCTTCGCTCGACGACATGACAGCACTGGAAGCTGAAACCCGCAGTCTGGTCTAAACTGATCTAAATGGAATGACGCGAGGCACGCGCTGTAGGTTTGGCACTGCATCCAAGCTGGTTTCCATCTCTGAAGGTTTACAAGAAACGAGCGCTTCAAGTGGCACATTCCTAAAGAAGTGCTGTGGTGTGTCCACGGGCCCCTTTGGATTTCAAATGGACTACAGGCAGCAGCACCAAGTCTGTTGCTTTAGCAGAACGACGTTTGGGCGTGTCAGTGGTTTCTACAAAGAACCTCCAGTTGGTTAGAAAGAGTTGCCTGCATTTAGTAAGTACTTGGCCTATAGTGTCCAGGATTTAGTCTATAAATAATAAATAGTCTAGCATTTGGCCACTAAACTTCTAGTATTTAGCAAATGGTTCCTAGCATTTAGGAAGTAGTTCCCAGGATTTAGCTAATAGTTTCCAGCATGCAGGATGTATGGCCCAGAATTTAGCAAATAGTTCCTAGGATTTAGTAAATAGTTTCCAAGATTTACAGAAGGCCTTCAGGATAGAGGCCAACGCAGGTCCCAATATATATCTATCATGTGTCACCTTTTCTTTTTTTGGGGGGGGTGGAGGAAGAAAACTATAGATGATAGCTATAGCTTTCTTTAGAACCATCCGACGGGCTGGATCGCACTGTTGTCCGCCTGACCGGACGAGGTGGACTTATCACGATTTTTCGGGCAACAGCACGGCAGCAGAGGCACTGGTCTTGAGGGACTTGCATGAGGTGGTGTGTACTCACTCGCGTCACTGCCAGACTCTTTCGGAGAATTGGTGTCGGGTTTCTCTTTTTCTTTGAGGTGATAGCAGGTGGGTTTGGTAGAAAGAAGGCAGGCCATGGTTGAAGATAGACAAAAGCATGACACACGTGTTGCTCAGACCTGGGTAGCAGGTAATTGGGTGACCCTACTCATGACTTATAGGCTTTAGATTAGATTAGGCATTGTCAAGGTGCACTGGGAATGCTTGGGAAGTTGTTCACTATTGCACCAGGAGCCAGTGTGCTCGTTCTTGTTTCATCAAATTCGATCATCCAACCTTGGACCATTGGAGCCAGCCGAGGTTATCTCAGTGGCATGCAGAAATGTGGAAAGGACATCCGTTGCTGATCAGCTGGTTCTGTGGGACCACACTGGCGCCCTGGACGTGCAAACAGGTCGCCGGTTCGGGCACACCGACGGTTGAGTTCCGCTGAGAAAACCAGCAGCAACAGGAATTGCAGCAGTACAGATGTTTGTGTTTCTTGGTGCACAAAAAATAAATCGATCATGAATCAATTAGTTGCTAATGACCACTGTAGGCTAGCTTTTGCCGAGGTGGGCCATGAGGTCTTGTGGGGAGGAGGCCCATCTGACCCTGAGCTGATCCCCTATGCCTGGAGCCTCATCAAAGCTCGTGGCGGCGGCTTGGAGAAGTTTTCCCTGACAGCCGTCACACACGGCCCTCATGATCTGCCCTGCCCCTGGTGAGCTCCAGCTGCAGATGTGGCGATAGCAGATAGCATTGGGGATAGATGGCCTGTCGGTGCGTCCCATCCAATGTGGAAGGTTTGGCCTATGAGGAATGTTGACGAATGGCAGTGATCGACAGATTTTGGAAGCTTTAATTCACTTGGCGCCCTTGAATTTGGGGTGCAAGTCGCGGACAGCGTTGCACAAGTCGCTTCTTTGACGGCAGAAAACAGCAGCCTGGAACAATAGAAGGTCACACTTCCCCCCCTCCCCAAAGACTTCCCCTAATTTGATTCCGGGCTAGCAAGCAGCTATCGCCTTCGAAAAAAGATTAGGGAGGCCAAAAAAGATTAGGGAGGCCCCTATATAATACCAATGGGATTTGGATGGATTTGCCCTATTTCCAGGCGTGGGGGCACCGGCGGACGTCGCCAGGCCTTTTGGGATGACAAGACCCGGTGCCTTTGCATTGTCCAGGAGTGTGCGGATGCAGGGCCCCCCGGTAAAGAGCCGGCCGCCACCTTGGCGAAAGGGCTGGCTGAAGGGGCTGCTGAAATGGATTGGACGTGGTTCTAGACCAGTGAAGGCGGAATTCCAAAATCCGTGGTAAAGAAGAACGACATGTCATGCTTTTTCCACTGATTTGTTTCATGTTATCCAAGTTTGTGTGAGCTTTGAGGGGTGCATGGCACTTTTTTTCCCCACATCACTCACGAAGCCTGAAGGAGGAGTTCTGGATGTTACTCTTGGGAGAGTTGATCAGTTGGTCATGCAGAAAGAAAAGGGGTGCAATGGTTGTTTGCACCTTTGGGGTGAATTGAGTCGAGGATTCCTTGGTGCTTTCCATGTGTGGATCTTTTGTAACACTCTTGTACACCCTGCCGAGTGCTGACGAGGAGATCGAATAGTAGAGAAGCTTCAGCCACAAGGCCGCTGAAGGATCGGAGATTGGAGAAGTTCCTCACATGCCACCGATATTGCTCTTCCTTGTCCGGTTTTTGCCGGTTTTCACAGGCTCGAAGGACAGGCTACGAGCCAACTGTTCACATGGTTCAGGCCACACTTCTTCGCATTCTGAGCCATACTGTCCCTGATATCTCGCTAGAGATCAGCAAGACCTAGCCACAGTGCAAGTTGCTCAGCTAGATCGGGCACCAAACGCCGAGAGCTAAAGCTTCTTCATCACCGCGAGTTTGAAGCGGCGAGGGGAACGGCGGCCATGCCGCCTAAAGCTGCTGGTGGGGTCGACAAGGCCAAGCAGAAAGAAAGGGAGAAGATCGCAATCGACAAGACCTTCGGCTTGAAGAACAAGAACAAGAGCCGCTTGGACTGGGTCAGCCAGACTGGAATATAATGGAGTATATGATGCGTGTATAGATATATACTTATATTTGTACGTATTATATATAATATTTTGTTTCTAAGCTGACTTCATGGATTTGGGTTGAGTTTAGAGGGGAAGTTCATGAAAGACATGAATCAATTACTCTCGCTTGCGATTCATGGAAGTAATATGAAGTAATTGCTTTTGAGTTCTGTTGCATCACAGTCTCCAAAGGTTGCCCCTGTTCAATCTCATGCTCCCAAGTTTCCTTACTAAGACCCCTTGATCCACCCACGCAGAAAATTTGCTGTGCCTGCCGGACGGGTGGCGCCGTTTTGACGACTGTGCTGGACTCGGCGCGGACGTGCAGGCAAAGTCGTCCAGAAGTACATCAAGTCCATCACAAACAATGCGGCTGGAGCACCCAAGGGTGGAAAGGAAGCTGCGGAGCGAGAAGCCAAGGAGGCCGATGCCAATGCCCGATCAAACAATGAAACATAGGATTGGCTTCAACTTTGCAACATGTGCTTGCAGAAGAGTTACTGTATGTTACTGTAGCCCTTTTGGCCTTTACTTTGTGGAGGGGGTGAGAAAGCTCTCAGTGGCCAATGTCAGAGGCAAAGCAAAAAGAATTGCAGAAGGCAGCTCTCATGACTCCCGGGCTCCGATAGCATGGATAGCATGGAGCATCCGGGCCTGGGCTGGGATATTCCTCCAAATTTGTGAACGTTTGGGAAGTTTCTGCGATTGAAGTTTGACCATGAATCGTCATCAAGTTTGGTCATTTCAGCCGCACACCCTATAGTATAGAAACCACATCAAGAAAGTTGGTCCAGGAGAAGCATGGGGAAGCAGTTACAGTGAAGAAGGCTTAGGGGAGTTTTGCATGCTAGTTGGGTCAAACCACGATGCATTGGGCAACTGTTCAGGTCATTACGCGCATCCCTTGTTCAAGGGTCCCCTTTGTAACAACAAAATGGAATTAGAGTACATTCGCCCTTCGTTTGGTGCGGTGCGGACCTTCACCCTTGGGCCGATTCACATTCCTGCGGTGCCGAGGAACTCTTTGTTCAACATGGCCACTGACAAGAAGGGCAGAGCTTTCGACCCAGTCGCAAAGAAGAAAGCGAAGCAGGCCACTCGTCGAGCCTGGCCCAGTCGCATGGATTACAAGAATCAACATGGATTGGTGCCCAGGCTTTCCAAAACTGCACTTGATTGGTTCTCAAATGGAGGGCTCCCCACCGGATCGTGCCAGACGCTTCGTTCCGGCTCTTTTTTTTGGCCAGGTCCGGCGCAGTAGCCGTATACCGTAGCATTGGATTAGCTCATGGGGCCAGTGGCTACCTGACGGCCACGGCATTTAGAGTGGTTTCAGAGTAGATGGCACAGACCTCAAGATGTCCTTTACACGGGGGTTCATATATGAAAGTAAGTTCACCAACCGGTGCTTTCAGAACCGTTCAACGACAAAACATAGTAGAGGTAGTCCAGAGCGGTGTCCAAACATGGCTGTGAAATTCAACCTCCTTCATGTCAAAACACAATTCAAATCGAAATAACGTAACTACAGTTGGAACACTATTTCTGATGACCTGCATATTGATACCAGATATTTGCGGACCGTTTGCATTCTTGCAAGAAAACGGGCACTCACAGGCTCTTGCCCTGCCAATGTCAAGGCGTTCCATCTCGCAACAAAAACAAATCCGTGCGCTCAGGCGGAAGAAGATGCCATCGCGTCCGGCAAGAAATTGAAAGATGATGTGAAGAAGGAGATGTCACGAAAACCACTCAAAGGGCAGTGTTTTGCTTTCCTCTTCCCACAGTCCAATCACACACTCAGACAGACTCGCATCAAGGCAATCGGGAGGCTCGGTGATTGGTAGGACGAGTTGTTGGTATTGTATACCGGTATACCCATTATGCTATGCTATAAGTGGTGGTAAAGGTCAGGGGCTGTGCAGTGCACGTGCAGGTTGGTAAGTTGCAGCTGCTGGTTACTCCAGGAAATCATCGAAGGAGTGGCCAACACCATCCGCTTGACCAACCCGAAGACAGGAGCGGGTTTGCAAGGAGCATGCTCTTACCCAGTTCAGTGGATAACTGGAATCAGGGGCATTGGTGGAACGTTCGGTGAGCACTTCGCGCACCTTTTTGGAGGGTTCTCCGGCTCGGGTGCGCTCCTGCGCTCCTGGGCTCCCTACAGGTGGACCCCGCCAGACCCCCAGAGAGGTCTTTCACCGCACGCGGCGGACCGCGTCCCGGTCCGGTGGTCCAAGAGGACCGTCCACGCTGTCACCGTCCGTCCCGGTCCGATGGCCGGAATCCACTGGATCACCTGCACTGCAGCGAACCTCCAAGCGAACCTCCAATGAATCTGGGAGTTTATGGTGCAGTGGTTTCGGAGTAGATGGCACAAATCTCCAAGTTTGGCCATTGATTTGGACCTCATTCTTTTCAGGACATCTTGGGATGTCAGCGTCAGTGAACCTCTGAAACCGTTGTACATTCTTTGCTATTTGGGGGGCTGGGAGGTGCGTGGCGCGTGTCGTCCAACACTCGCCCCGACCTTGCTCCAGCCGCCAGGCATTCGAATGTCTGAGATCGGCGGCCATGCAATCATCCAGGCCTGAGCCAATGGAAGACATCAGAGTGTTCATGATCCGAAGCTTTGTTTGGCCCCACCACACCCACCCTCAAGAATCAAGCATGAAAATAGAGGACCTACTTTCCAGCTGTTGGGGAAGGGTCTTCTTGAGATTCCATGTGTATCGTGTGTTTCGTGTCCACGTGTCCACGTTTCTGCCAATGGTGCGTGCACTGTTTGATCTGATCAATGGTGACAATGATCATAGCAGATTGATATGATTGATGTCCTCCCGAGGAGGGAGGACTGAAGAGGGAATTGTAAGATCGCAGGTCCAATGCCCTCGCGTTTCGCAAACCCAGAAGAGAAAGCTCTCAGATTCCCAATGATTCTCAAGGGTCACGTTGTGTGCATGTGAGCGGACACCTCCCAGTGCTCAAGATGTGGTGGTGGATGCGGAGCGCAAGAACTGTATTCTGAGGCGCTGAAAACCAAGCATCAGGAGGCCTTTAAGATCTTGCAGCTCCTCCTCTTCATCAAGGCCAGAGTTTGTGGGCTTCGGAGCTTCGCGGAACTTCGCAGAGCTTCGGTCAAGCCGATTAAGACCATGAGGGGAAGAAGAGCCGTTGAGTTTCATAGCAAAGCATAGCAAACCTTCATACAGCTGGTTTTCAGTGTGGATCATGTGAGCAATGATAAGATACCGATACCATTCTCCTGCTGTAACTGAATAGTACTCGTAGTACGCGGAATCGTGCATGTTGACTTGTTGTGACGTGGACTGGGTGACTGGGTGACTGGTACTGCGTACTGCTCCGCACGAGTGTTTTGCGGAGCATGAGCGGAGGTCGACTGTGGACCATCGGAAGACCAAGACTTCAATGAGTTTCAATTTACGGTTCAGCAGGGTGCAGCTGTTTTCGCAGTGCAGCCAGGGTGCAGCCCAAAGAGGAAACCAAACACACTTCTCACATCTTCTCACCATGTGAGGCCAACGACAAGGTCTTCTGGGTGGACGATCCTGAGAAGCTGTGCTGATTTATTTCCGATTCGCGCGACGTTTGTTCCTACACAGTCCGACACATCAATGGATTACTGACTATAGCAGACTAGTGACTATAGTATACTGGAGTGCTTAACAAGGATTGAGGGAATGGATCTGAGGGTATCTATGGCTAGGGGTCATTTCCCTTATTCTCTATACTAAGAACTTGAGTAAGAACACCGAATTCTTGTGAAAACATACCAGCTACTTCCAAGGGGTCACCAATGGACATCTCCACACTGCTTACAGGTCTCCATTGGGCACCCCTTGGAAGCACTAGGTTTGAAAACATATATTTGGGCTGTGCACTCCTTCGTGCCACTAAGGAGCAGCAATCCTATGATCCGTTGCCTGGAGGATGTCGAGGCGGAGGTAGCTCCAGATGAGAGGCCCATCGAAGAGATCATCGAGGAGAAGCGGGTCCGGGCTCCCAGTGCGGTGGAGGGTCGATCTTTAGCCTTGTTCGATCTGTAGCTGTTCCTTGTTTCCATGCAACTCTCGAACCTTGTCCAGATCTTCACCCTTGTTGTGGTTAGAGAGTTGGACAAGGAAGCTTTCGGAGGTTCCATTTACCTCCATTGTGAAATAGTTGTGTTCAGTGTTTGGCAAGACTGTGCCACTTCGAACTTCGATCTTTAATATGGACCGCTAAATAAGTTGCATATATCAAACATCTCAAACTCCTCCTCTGTTTTCCTCCTTCTTCTTCTCCATCCCCCCCTGTTCCACCCAACCCTCTCCATCCGTTTCTTCCCAGTTCCCACGACACCAACACCCCACGGTCCGTTTCTTCCGCATTCCGTGGCGGCACACCGGACGTCCGGGTCGCGGCAGGCGGCGCTGCCTCCGGGCGGCACGCCGGTGACCTTGGAGACCTTCCAGGCCTGGAAGGAGCGACGAGAGGCGGAACGCTTGGAGAAGGTGGAGCAGGAGCGGAACCGGTTTCGGTCCGAGACGCAGGTCAGCGGTCCGGTCCGCGGTCCGCGGTGAGGTGAGGTGGTTCAACTTGGTTCTCAGAGGTGAGACATGGCACCATATGGCACCCCGAAGAGGTCAAAAACAGATGGGGGTTTCTCTTCCAGTGCCATCCACTGGGGTAACCACGAAAAATGGGGTAATTAAACATGTATGAATATAAACCACCAAACTTGGGGTAACTTGTGCCATTTCTCACCTCTGAAACCACGAAACAAGTCGGTGGGAAGATGAGGACGAGACTGGCTGAGGTGCCTTTGTCGATGGGAGATGGGAGACTGGCTGTTTGTTGCATTTGGGAGCAGGGTGGTGGGTACTGGGGTATTGGAGTGGTTTGAGGTGGGTTTGGGAGCAGGGTGGTGGGGTAGAAGCGCAAGTGGGTGGCAGCAGGGAGAGTGAAAGTTCAGAGATTCAGAGCGCATCCAGCTCATTCCAATTCCATATAAATACATCAAATTAGAGCATAAACAGCCGTAGTGCAGCCTGCGCGAATTGACAAGATCTCCAGTCAGCTCGCAACTCACCCTGTTTGTCACTCGGTTTGTTGGTCACTCGGTTTGTCCTTGGATCCCTCAGTCTCAGAAGAAAGCTTTCCTTCTCCCCGGAGCGTCCAGGATCGCTTAGAGAACATCAAGAAGGCTGGCGGCGGCCACTCGCCCGACCGTGGGGGTGTGTGTGAGGTGCGGGTGCCTCTCCTACAACGACCAGTATGACCAGTGTTTTCATTTGAGGGATTCCCGACTCCTCACTGCGTGGGTAGCTTCACAAGTGACAAAGCATATCAAAGCAACATAGGTGTCCTGTGTACTCTTCCCACGGTTGGGTGTGAAACTTGAGGGAGAATAAAGTCCAAGGTTCTTGGGGCCACCCAATGCGGTCCAGTGGGTTGGAGACCGGGCTTTGTCGGGCGAAACATGGGCCAAATGTGGCCCAAGTCGGGCTTCACCCGTCAAGATGGAGATGACGTGAGATGACGTGAGATGACGAGCTGCTTCCAAGGGGTCACCAATGGACATCTCCACACTACTTACAAGTCTCCATTCGGCACCCCTTGGAAGCGCTAGGGACGTGATGTTTTGTTGTGTTCACCTGAGTTCTTAGAAGGCCGTTCTTCCCTGTTTTTTGGCAGACCTGTTCAACGTCTCGAAACCGCGAGAGGATAGATAGAGTATGATACAGTTGAACTGTCTTCCCAACGTGAGTTGATGTATCCCTCCACCCAGGAGATTGCATGTTCAGAGGACATGACTGTAGGGGGCTCGAATAGGTTGAGTTCAATATCGTCGGATTTTGAGCTCGGACAGAGAGGGGGGATTGCCATTTGGGACTGCCAGGGTGATTGAAATCTCAGGGGTCAATGTGTTTGGGATATATATATTGCCATGTACTTGATAGCATGTTTATACCCGAAGATCACCGGAGTCTAGCGACCCCCTGTTTGCTTCTGTGGGATTTCTGAGGCAAAGGTCTGGCTGGGATGAGCGGGCGCGATTTGTTCACCTACGATGCTTCGCTCTTCAAGGATGAAGAGGGTGCCGTTTCAGCGGATGAGCCTCTTGGATGACCAGCTGTTGCAACCAGTATGTGCAAAACAAAGAAGAAAGACATTGACAGGCCCCTGATGGCCCATGGCATGTGTCAGAAAGCTAGCCTCATGGTCAGTGTGGAAGGTTTTTCCAGCCCGTCCATGGCATTACATGCGTGTGACGGATGCGCAAGCACGGCCAGAGTGGGTGAAGTTGTGCCCCAACTCACGTCACAAGCACGCAGACAGTACAACACTTGTGTAAGCACAGAAGAAGAAACATGCAAAACATTGGTTTGGCATACAAGACATACAAAAAACATATATAAACTATTCGCATTGGTTTGGCACACTGCAAAAGTCAGTCCGTGCCGTGTGCCAAAGATCATCATTTGACATGTTCCACAGTGTGCCACGGGTTTTTTGGGGCTGTTTGGGTTCCGAAGACTCCTCAGCAAGTACTGAATGAGCTGCAAAGCTAGTTGATTTGGTGTGATTTGTTTGATTTAAAGGTACAGGCTACTGGCTAGGCCAAAGGCTGAAGGGGGCTGAAGAAGTGCAAACAAAAAGTTAAAGGTACCTGGGTCCTGCTCTCTCTCTCTCTCATGGTTTTGTTATCAGTCCTTAAAGTCCTTACCGCGACCAGCCTACCCACTGAGGTACGATGAAAGGGAAGAAGACCCTCCGGAGGATGAAGATGAGGGTGATGGGAAGACAAAAGGAGTGGCTGCAGAGCTGCAAGATGAAGCTTGGTCAAACAGCAGGGTGGCTTTTGTGGGGGAGATTTGTTCTTTATCCAGACAAAATCTGTTTATTATTCTTGATTTATATGTGATCCACTGGCTGGAATTGTCAATTTCGAGGCCAGTTTATTGGCCCCTCCCTTGGCCCCGAAAGAGGTCCCTCCGGAGGATTGTTGAGACGATTTTTCAGTGGACTGAGCCACTCAAAGAAGATTCTTGACATTGACGTGTCTTCCCAGCAGGGAAGGAACATTTCTTCACGATTTAGGATTCCAACAACCCTGGGGTCAAGTCTGGGTCATCCATGGAGAACCTGTCTGGGTCATCCATCGAGAACCTGGTCTCCTTTTTCTGGTCCTATTGGTCTCAATGCGAAAGTTCCAAAAACACGGTCTCCTCGCGTTTGGGAGTAGCTAGGAGAACGGAGAAGAGCAGGAGGAGGAGGAGGAAGGGCAAGATTCTGGAGCCAGAGGTAGCACCGAGGAAGCTGGAGCGATCAATGAAAAGCTCTTCCTGCAGGAAGAGGAGCTTCCGGATGATTTGGACGATGTGGAAGATGAGGACTGAGAGGAAGGATTGAAGTTTTGAAGGTTCCATTTGCCCTACACATTCTGTGGAGCGCCAATTCGCATTACAGAATCTCAAGCTTTGAATCTAGTCAGTTAGCCAAAGACCAGCTTGTACAGACAACCCAAAAAGGAGGGATGCGCTGCGAGAGCCATGTGGGATATATTTGGGGTCTGTCCTATTACTTGTAACAGTCAGTAAACAAGCAAGTCACTACTTTTGAACAAGACCTGCAACTGAACCATCATCATCCACTGTTACAGGTAATGGGATAGACCCCAAGATATATGGTTGTTTTGTGTAACCGTGGTTTCAGAGTAGATGGCCCGGCACCAATCCCAGACATGTCTTGAACAGAGGGGGTTCACTTGTGCCATTTCTCACCTTTGAAACCGCTGTATTTGCGCTCCACGTTGGCTCCACCAATCCACTTGGCTGACTTGGGGCGGTCGACCATCCTTGGGCCCAAGACCTCAGCTTGCGGTGACGATTTCTCCAGATGGGAACATAAGAGCCCAAAGACCTCCCGCAACTTCGTGCGTGGCCGAGCTTGGTCAGAAAGACCTTCCGTTTCAACCCCCTGGGCAATTTGTCCTGCACCCTGCAACTCTTAGTAGCTGGCTTGACATGGCGCGAACCGGCGGGTAAAACCTGAAGCGACGTTTGTTCACATGTTCGTTCAGACCAGTAACTGCAAATTTGGCCAGCAGCGTGGTCACAGACCAGAAGCCTTGATCACTTAAAGTGGTTTCAGAGTGATTACATATAGAAGATGGCACTGGCACCCGAAGATGTTTTGAACAGATGGGGATCCATATAAACCACCAAACTTGGGGTAACTTGTGCCATTTCTCACCTCTGAAACCACATATACATCAACTTACCCTCCCTTCTTCCCAAAGAGAGGAGGGAAGACGGGAGTGGTCCACATCCAACACCTCCAAGCCACTGAGGCAGGAGACCTTCTCCAGCAGATCAACCGCTGCAAGCAGGAGGGTCTATGCCGACCGGCATCAGCCACGGTGGTTGGTGATCTCCCCTTCTGCACAGGTCAGGAAGATCTCTAAGACATGTAGAAAAACAATGAGAAACATATATTAGATCTATTCCATCAACAAAACGCTGTAGCATCGATGAACGTCTTCAAGACTTGAGATGGAAGAACATCACACATCTCAAATCCAACGAAGGCACACGGGCGCTTTTGGAACGGTTGGAACACCTGATCGACAGACTTGAGAGAGAGACAGAGAACTCTGAGGTTGGAAGAGGTCACTTCGAGATTCTAGCATCTCATGTAGCGTCTCAAACATCTCCACTTCCTGTTGCGTCTCCACGCGAAGGAAGCGCCCACCGTTCCATGTGTTACTTCCTGTTTGTCCCACGCGACGCGCCCAGGAGCGCGCCTACCTCCGAGAGGCGAGGGGAAGCGCCGGGTCGCGTTTGGGGTCGGTGGGTTGTTCAACGCGCGTTTGGGGTCGGTGGGTTGTTCAACGCGCGTTTGGGGTCGGATGGTTTGGGTGAAGGAGAAAGAAACAGAGCGTTATATTCAATTATATTCATGTTATAATCTATAGATATATTCATTGATTCATACCTGGTGATTGGTGTTCTATGAGGTAGATGCAAAAAAATAAGATGATACAACATGCAGTTCTGGTTGGCATGAGGCTTCTGTTCTTGTGATGCAGTTCTGCTTTTGATGATTCTGATGTGACCTTTGTGAACTTTCCCGACTTACCCCCACACCCGAGTCATTCCATACGAGAAGCAACTTAGCGTTACCTCAGGGCGATCCACTGCCTCAACAGCCAACAGCGGCCTGCTTGGAGGTTTCCTAGAGAAAAGGGCAGAGTGTCCCAAAAGTGTAGGAACCAACTCAACACACTCGGACCGCTTCTCTGAAGAAGCAGTCCGAGTGAACACGCAATGAAAAGACGTCCCCCTTCACCGCTGCCGAAAACCGGCCAGGCTGACGTGTGGCGCTACCTGGACGGGATGTGTCAAGGGCTGAAGGCTCGCTCAGTGAGTCGTGCGGGTTCAGATCAAATGCTCCAGTTGAGCGCTGCTCAGGGTGAGGCATTGGGGCCTTACTTGGCCGTTGGGAGGGTTTGCACATTACTATAAGGTCACGTGATGGAACTCTTGGGGAGGATGTGAACACAACAGATGTCATATGAACCAAACCTAACCAAACAGATTGTCATGGGAAGCAACATGTTGGGCGCCACTAGGTGTCAATGTTCGCTTAATCACTGATTGTCACTACTTGCAGCTTGCATTGTTTGATTCCACTTGCTCAAAACAGTCATTTGACTGGATGACGGGCCTATCAGTGGGCCTATCATAGGCCCTTTCTGGCAAGCTTTTGGTGAGTACTGCTCATGTTGTTCCAGGCTAAGGCTCAGGGATGACCAGACCGGTCACCACGGCACAAGCATCCAGTGCCCCGAGAAGAGAACAGATGCTGGGATACCTGAGTTATATAGAAGTCCTTTGGATGCTGTCCATGCGAGTTAAATCGCAAGAGACGCTTTGCATGCGATGATTACATCCCGAAAGGCACATTTGCAACAACTCCGCTCCGCCCATGTCATCATTGAAAGGAAGGCGCTCAGAACAAGCGCTGTCGGGTTTTCACCTACGTAACAACAGCGTGCCGAACTCTGATCGACCGATGCAACATGATGCTGACTGACACGGCACCGTGCCGAGTCTGTGCCAAATCCGACCGCACCGACTCCTCGGACCCTCTCGGTGACCCCTCGGTGCGACCCTCTCGCTCGGACCTGTCTCCGACCCGTTACGACCTGCGAAGTCGATCCGTCAAGGCCCTGCACGACCTGCGGATTCTCCACCGAGATTTGAAGTGTCAGTCAGCTCAGTGGGGCGTGAACTCTGCCGAACGAAACGCCTAGGGTGATCCAGAAGTTGGAGAGAAAAGATGATTGCTCACACAGTCAGCGGTTAGCTCGTTTGTTGGCTCCAGAACCTGAAACCTTGCACTTTTGGACCTTGCTGGCCTGGTTCCTTGTGGATTCCCTGTGGTTTTGTAACAGACAACCTACAAGAAGTTGTATGATCAAATTCGATATGATTGGACTGTTGGATGTGTTCGCCGGGGCACAACTCAAAACTTCATCCTTGGTGTCGCAAGACTCCCCAGATTCATCATGCCAGAAGCAAGATTGATCAAGATTGTATCCCCGACAATCCTTCCGTTCTATCACTCGTTCTTCGTGCCAATTAATCCGGGCGTTCGGCGTGGCGTAGCCGCTGAGGCGCAAATGTCTTCCTAAGCCACTCCAGGGATGGGCTGGGGGCTCAGCCTCCAGTTTTTGAGACTCACGGCGTGAGGTCAGCAGTAATTATATAGCGCTCATGCAGTCACTCAACCCCTCAAGTGGGCGAAGTGGGAGAAGTCCTGTAGCTTCTCAGGTAAACCATGGTAAACCTATAGTGCTGCAGGTCTCCCTATATTAACACGCATCCAACATCAATCATCAGGATGAGGCGTCCCCATCCGCTTTTTTCACCTCGTCCGAGAAGACGCAGCGTCAGCGTTTCACCCAGGCTCATCGCCAAGTTGGGAGACTTCAATGCCGCAGATCCTGAGGGGAGGAGATTGGATGTTCCTTTTTTGGGGGTGGACTGGATGTGTACTGGATGCTTGAAAACAAGAACAAGAACGGAGCCGTTGTGTTTTTGAGAGCAACCCCGCAACACCCATTTGAGAATATTTGTGGGATGGGATCCATCTCTTTTTGTAGTATGTAGGGCCGGGTGTATAAGTTTAAGTTATAAGCTAGATTCATTTGGCCCGTGTTTCTTTAATCATCTTTACAGAAATCCATTTCAAAATGAATTCTATTGAATACGCAGAAATTCACGTGTCATGTTGTTGGCAAAGCAACTCCAAATGGAGGGACCGCAAGTGACCGTTGGACATCCTTTGGTTATCATGCGGTCTCATGGTTCTAAAGCCACCGCTTGAGCCCAGATCTTGGATCTCCGGTGTGCGTGTGAACTATGTGAACTTCTCTCCTCTTCGCAGGTGGAGCAGGTGGAGCAAGCTGCTCCACCTGAGAAGCCGACCACACTGACCAATTGAGAAGCTCCTCGCCACTCCACTCCACTCGCCACTCGCCTAGGTCTCCAAGGTGGCCAAGCGGGGCTTGTGCATGACTCAGACGGGAACGCCCTATTATGCCTCCCCGGAGGCCGGGAGTCCTCGTCTTCCCGAGGTATTTCTGGATGCTGCGTTCTTTTTTCGGGTGATGGAGTGAGGTGATTCTCGGACTCTCGGAGATGGGACGAAAATCCCTTATGGATGACTTATGGATCCACATCCTTTCTACACATGGATCCCTTATGGATCCCTTATGGATTGAGTGTGATTGAAGACACTTTTATGTCGGCCTGTGAGGCCTGGAGCGTCCAAACCACCTTCTGTACGGGGGTATATACCTGGATCCCTAGATAGGGATGATAGGGGGCCAGCACATGCACCAAACTGTGGGTCGGTGCGGCGTGAGGGCAAAGCTATGCTTAGTATATTATATATATACATATACCCATCCAGATCCCAGAACTTCCAATGACTCATGAACTACTCCACTTGGTAGTCATATTCCGCCACTACCAGGCCGGGGTAAAATGAGTCAAACTTGGACTCTCCCTTCTTCCAGAGGTGTTTGGGAGGTCTCCCTATTTAAATGCACCCCATATATATATATATTATATACCATGCTAATCCATGTTGCACTGCTCGAGGCACGACATCGGACGACCTTCGCAAAACTCAACAAGCGCAGCATGGTACCGAACCATGGAAGTCCTGCAGCATGGTACCGAACCATCACAAGCGCTTTTCAGCTTCGTTAAGCACATCCCAGAATTGGTTGAAGGGAAATCTATGAACATCTACAGGAAACCCCTAGTTTTGAGGTTGGAAACCATGCTTTACCTGTAAATGTTTCCTTCAACCAATCCATTGACTACAGACTACAGTGTTTGAAATTTGTTGAGGCCACAATGTTGTCATGTATGTTCTTTTTTGAAGTACCAACCACTTCTTGCAACGCTCAGAAAGTACACCAGGAAGCTGTGCTGTAGTCATATGTATATATCTATCATCAGAAACCTGTCATGTAGCTCTTTGACGGAGATGTTTTTGATTATTTGGTTGATATATTAATCCACTGGAGCTGCTCGATATTCAATCGCTCCATGTATGTTACGTTGGTCAGGTGGGCCACTTCTAGCATTTTAAAGAGACATACCCAGGCCCATGAGTCCTTCCGTTGGATTGGCTGAAGCGGACGGGGACGGCTAACAGCGCCGTTCCGACCATCGCGTGGCGCGCGGGCCGCGTGGCGACCACGATGGACGGTGGAGGCGCCAGCAACGAGAGGATCGTATATTAGACATACAATCATTGACATATGCTTCCAGTTCCATCTACCAAAATCTCCAATACAACAACCTGGTTTCCTTGTAGCTTGAAGAAAACAGACGTCAAGCTGGGCACGGGCCTTGTCCGAGCACCTATCCCCAGCATTTTGGTTTGCCAGGGGAATATGGCTACAGCGGCACCGTCAAGTTTTGGCACGCACACAAGGGCTTTGGCTTTATTGAGGGGAGCGCTCTCGACCAGGACCCGGGCTGAGAAGATGCCATGGAAACGGAAACGCTTTCGACCGCAGGTGTAGCTTGAAGCATTTGACAGGGCTATCAGAGATTGCAATGGGTGACATATTGTGAACTACTATGAAATATGTTGACTCTCCTTTTTTCAGAGACCACCCATCTTGAGGAACGCAAATTCAATCACTATATAAACCACGAAGACTCCTACCAGGCTGCTGTTTGCATTCAATCTAGTTAATTTTATTGGCAGCTTTGCTTCATCTACTATGATTCTAAAACTACGACATTCTATTGAACCAGCGCAGCATCACCATCTATCAGATTGTGTACGTGTATAGTATATATATATATTATATTCGTTCATGGTTACATATACAAATTTGTCTTGAATGTTCCATTCAGAATCCATTGTTTGGACAGCTCGTCACTCTCAAGGATGTAATGTTTTCACACAACGAGTTGATGCTTGGCTGGAAGAGATATGGGACACGTGTGCCCCAGATTGTGGACGCGTGCACCTAGGCAAACGAACAGGGGACCTGCAGGGCGTACATCAAAGCAATTGCTTTCTTTTCAGGAACAGCTTTTCCAAGGACACGGTCCATTTGAAGCAAAACCAGCAGCAGGGCCTTGAGAAAGCCACAGTTCTTTCTTATCGTATTAATATGACGAATTCGATCATAGAGATGGTCCTTTACCGTTGATAAATGAATAGAGGGAACACCCTCAAGTAGTCCCTCAAGTGTACCACCGATTGGGCTTCGATGTCACGAACTCCATTCCTCTTAGATTTCTCCTTTGAGTCGCTGCTTCAGTCGCTGAGGCCAGAAGACTGCAAGACGGTGCACGGGGACTTCTTCCGAGGGCGTGGCTTGGAGTGAAAAAGAAGGTGGACAGGGGGGTGACAGGGGGATGGGGAGGTTCATCAACTTCCGGTCAGAATAGAGTCCAATGGTCATAGAGTCTTTTGTTTCGGTTTCTCCTGCCTGGAAGAGAGCCTCGAACTTCAGTGGTTTGTGGATCTTTGGTCAGTCAATTGCTAGCTTCCTGCCAAGCATTTGGATTATACTATTTGGACGACAGAATCGCTTGCATAGTTAGAATCGATGTGACCAGAATCGCTGGCTGAAGAGGACATTGCCTGCTGGTGACCACACTCTGACCTCCGGAGTTTGGTGGCACGGTGAGTCCCAACCACCGCGGCATTCCCTGGCTTCGAACAGGGAAGCAGGGAAACTGGTGAGTAGACGTTGAAGTGTTTGGAACGTGGAAGACGTTGAAATCACCCAGACAACGATGTCACATTTTCAACTCGTTTGGTCGTTTGAAGTCTCGTGTGCATTTAATTTAATTAATGTATGGATATTGTGTTTGCTCTCCACACCTTCAACTTTGTAGCAACGATTGAAGTTCCTCTGTTCGCAGAAGACCTACCTCTTCCACAGGGTGAGGTGTCGAACTATTCTATTGCCTAGATTTCCAGTACTTAGCTGTCTTCAAAAAGAGTTGCTTGCCTCAGCAAGATGGATCAATCAAACCATTTTAATCAGTTGAATCCAATCGAAGCAAATCAACCAAGAAATACATCTCAATACTTCATCAATACAACCCCCAACTCTGCCCAAATTCCTCCAGAATTACCTATCATCGCCCAGACATGCCCAGACTATCTCCATCCCCTCCACCTCTCGTTTCGTCGTCGACCGAGGCACGGTGACCTTTCAAGCGCAGCAAGGCGCCGACGGTCGATTCAAGGCCACGAGCCTGAGCCACCCGGAGCGGTGGTTGGTGGATGGGGTGGAGGTGGATGGGATGGCGTGGATTTGAAGGAATGTGAAGGTGGAAGACTAGATGATGAAGATGAAGTTGGAGGAGGTTAAGGGATCAGAATGAACGTGAACAGTGCGGCATCTTGGGGCTTGTTGCCTGGAAACCATTGATGCTGCACTGCTAATTAGTATACAATTAAGAATCAGATTTGTGGAGTGCTGTGATCCATCATGTGTGTTTAGCCCGAGTATGCTGGAACCTTCACATAAATGGATTCTTTCGATCATCCAACAGTCTCAGACCGCACTGCTGACCACCCGAATCACAAGAGCATGCTGCGTTTACGTGGTGCTATATTTAGTTTTGGCTGTTTTCACCCTGACTGAATCTTGGAAGAGTTTCATGAATGCCATGAACCAGCTGTATATCAAAGCTTAAACGTTTTCAGGATCATCTCCGGAAACTGGCCATGAGCTGCTTCGGATGGCCAGTTCGATCCTCCCGCTTCGCCCATGCGCGAGCCACGTCTCGTGCAGCCGCCGTGCTCCGCTGGGTGGGCGCAGTGCATCGAAGCGTTCGGAGCCGCGTCCGGCGAAGGCTAGCGTGGATCGCGCGGGGCTTCACGAACGTGCTAAGGCATTGCCTTCGGCCCCGGGCAGCCGGTGCCCGGGAAGATCAAATCCTTCAGCGCCACTTAGAAGGTTTGTTCGGCGGGAAGGCTGTGATAGGGATCCTCTTGTGGGGGCTCAAGAGCTTGGAGAAATTGATTTACAAGGATGGGTAGAGGAATCCATAAGCTGAATCGTTGGCACAGGAGGGGTTTTGAAGGGGATCATTTCTCTTTTCCGTGGGGATGGTATGCTGCATTTGTATATATATATATATTAATACATGGCAAAGCGAGCCAGCCCGTTCATTTGGTCGAAACACCGTGAGGGGCTCTGTGGACAGTTCCTGAAGACCATGACATGTGGAGCCCCATCGGACACAGGGCACAGGGCCCTTTGGACCTCGGTCTTGGGAAGAAGAGGAATGCATAACTCCATGAGGCTCACATATGCTCACATATTACAGTGCGATACTTTACATGACTTCTTCCTTGTCTAAAGTCGCTGCAGATTTCAAGGTCCTTGGCCTGGTTTGAGTTCAGATGCTCCCGCCAATTCATGTCTCCTGAGGAAAGAAATGGATTTGGCCTGGGGGCTCAGTGGTGTGGGTCACAGATCTTGTCTTACGTCCAACACTGAGGGAGGTCTCGATTCGCGAATTTGTTCCCTCCGGAAATGCATCTCTTCTTGTTATTTGTTTGCGAAAGATTCAGACCCCTCTCCCAGGGCACTTGCAGCTTCGTCAATTTGCTGCTCGTTTCCACCTTCCGCCAACCTCCGCACGCCGTGCCATCCTTGGTGCCCATCGATCGGCGTGGCCAGGTTTCATCGTGTCCAGCGCCCTCACGCAGGACATCCGCTTTAACCAGAATTGTGTGGAAGGTCCTTTCAATGGAGTGGAGGCCGTCGGATGCTCGGAGAGCGTCTGAGAACTCCGGGGAGCACTCGGGCCATGCGGAGCCATGTAGTAGACGGGTTTGTGGGCGAACAAAAAAACATCGGAGAATTGTACCATATCGTGCCGTTTAGTCACGCAATACCCTTTGTCCGTTTGTCAATCTCCTTTTGTCACAAAATTTGGCAAAATCAATCTCCTTTTGTCCTTCTTTTTTGGTGGGTTGTTCCTTTGGTCCCTATATCGTGGGCCTGCTGACGGAAAAGAGTCGACCACCAGCTTGGTGGGCGTCTTCCTTTAACTTCGTTTCTTGCCATTAATGCACAGGACCAGTCGCCTAATGGATAAGGCGTTGCAACTCTGCCATCCAGCAGATGCAAGCATCTTGATGAAGGTTCAAGTCCTCCCTGGTCCGTATTTCATTATCGGTTTTTTTTAATGAAAGCCACTCCAAATGTTAGCTGAAATCTGTTCAAAGCCAATGCGCCGACTTATGAGGGGCTTTGATTAATCAACACTGGATCCTCGCCCTCGTGCTTCAGGGGAGGCTAAAAAACAAAAATTCTCTGACGGGAATGTATGGCATGGTCTAGATAACGCCCATTGATCCCAACCCTGCCGGGCCTGCCGATGCTTCTGTTTACAACAAGATAACAAGATGAGATGTACTATTATTGTAGTATTTAAGATCTTTAAGAGACTCTTGTATAGTCGTGATTTGAGCATCTTTGAGCCAACCACCATCTCCAGCACAGGGTGAATTGGGGAAGGACTATAGTGACTAATTAAGCATGCTTAGGCCCTTGAGCCTACGTGCTCAGAATTCGAGAAGAGAAGAAGGCGACCCCACCACCCGTCCAGATGCCGCTGCCAAGGACAATGTGTGATGGTGGACATTGCAACTTGAACGAATCCTCGGTGCCAGGCCTGACTGGTGTGCTTGTCTAGGTGATGGTTTCGGATATGTTTATTTTCAACCCTTACTTGGGGATGATTGGACCCTCTGACCAATAATGTGTTTCAAGCGGGTTGAAAACGCCAACCAGTTATCCATCTTAAGTCACACATTCAACATCACATCTACGGGATGTCAGTTTCCCTCGGTTCATGTTGAATCATTCGGCTGACATGGAGAAGCAGGAGGACACTCAACAGCTGAAACATCATTCCAAAGCTAGTCACATCAAAATTTAAACCTGGAATCAGATATAATAACCAAAAAGTTGCACTTGGTTCATCAGTTGGTTCGTATACTCTAGCCAGGCTTCAGCAGTTCTTCTTGGATTTGTCTCTGTCTGGACCTGTGCCTGGCTTTGTTGGAAGTAGAATTGGTGGATCCTGTCTCCTTCAAACAGCACCACCCAGGACAGGTGGGTTATTGATTTTGCTGACGATGCTCATTGGCCATCCGCATCCGTTGGGTGGTGCTGGAGAAGGGTTCCACATGGATCGGACCTAAAGTTTCCCACATGACGGTGACAGATAACCACACTTTTCCCTACAAACCATTTGCAGTTGTACCAACCACATGGTGAGCGTGCTGATGCCACGCCAAGGCAGCCAAGGCTGATGGCAAGCTGAGCGCCACGCGGGTGGTCTTCCAACAGCCACAAAGCTACTGGGCAGTGAAATCCACGAGAAGAGACAGATGTTGTACTATTAAATTATGGGGAAACTGCAAAGGGTCATTATTGACGTGTAAAGTGTCAAGTCAAGTTGCTTTGTTGGGATCAAATTGGTCAAGTTCCTTGAGTATTCAATTGAGTTTAATGTATCATTTTTGTTGAGATCAAATTGCGTGAGTATTGGCAAATTCTTTAATTGTTGTTGTTGTGGTTGTTGGTTGTTGGTTGTTGTTGTTGTTGTTCCTTATGTAAATTATCAGAAACTTGTCCAAGACTCATCCTACAGTATGAACGGCAAAATCGAGGCAATACTACCACGACGATTTGAAGAAGACAAAGAAGCCACGGCTGTGGAAATCAGCAACCAATTTCCATGAGCAACACTTCTCTGTTCAGGAGTGGATTAGAAATGGTCCTGACCCAGACACTCCCTTGATCTCCCTTGTATGAGAAATGGAAAAGAAGCGGGACACCCCGTTGAGTCACAAAACCATGCCTTCGAGTTCCACAAAGGCATGGCATCCTCACCACGGTTTTTTCGAGAAGAAAGGGACAGACCAAAACTCCATTTGGTGGATGATCTTCGTCCAAACCCCCCAAAGTCCCAGGGTCCGGGTCCAAATCTGCTCCATCCACCGCCTCCGAGCGCCTCCACCGAAGGCATCAAGATGAACGGCTTGATCCCCGGCACGCCCTTGATGCCCGCGCCGGCGCCCTTGGCACCGGTGGCGCAGTCCAGGAGCGCGTCGGTCCACGAACCGGAACTCGTTTCCCAATGGCGGACGGGTCGTTGGTGGGGAAACCGAAGTGTCCACCCCTCGGGGGGGGATTTGGAAGGTGAAGGTGTGCTGTATAGAGGTGGAGGGGGCCCTCCTGGATGACTATAGGTATTTGAACTAGGTATTTGACGTACTCGTACTTTTGGTTGAGAGTTTCCCTCCAGTCTCCTACGTCCAATCATGAGGGCGAATGGCATAGAGTTATAGAATGTTATGCCTAGACACTCCATGTGTGCCGTATATGCCTACATTGGGGTGGTTTGAGGGGTCAATGTAGGCATATATGGCATACATGGAGTGTCTGGGATAGATATTGTTGGATATTCACCAGAAACACGGCAATAGCGATTGCCTGTCACTATTGAATCACTTATTGGAGTGGACACCCTTATATATTCTCCCTTTGCGAGGGATCACGGTTCACCGTTAGCGAAAGAAACCCAATCGGTATGCATGAGGCCCTTGGAGGCTGAGGCATCCGTGCGGCCCGTGGGCGATTTTGCGACAAGTTGAAAAAGCAATCGGAAGACTACAAGAGGTATACCCTTGGGGTGTATGCATGGTGTGTCTTCCCAGCTTTCTGCAACAGTCAATCAAAGACTATCACTATTTTTGGAGATGTCGGCCTGCAACCTAATCATCTGGGCCCAGGGATTGGGATACACCCAATGTATGCATGTGCTACCCTGTGTGGCCCTTAGCTGACCTGAGATTTTATCGACGTTTGTTCTTTGCGAGGAGCTATCTGGACCGAACGCCACCCGTTGGGCTGAACTCCATGGCTGCTTGGATAGGACACGGCGGATCGTGGAGCGTTTGAGAACTTTGAAAGCCTCGAATGGAATTCGTTCGTTAGGTATTTTGGGAATGCTTGGATGGGGTCTTGGAAAACGGCTGCTTCGCAGAATGACACCCCCAAAAAACACTGACTAGTGTAACTAAGCCGTTCATGTCGGTTGTTCGTTTCCTCTGCAGACCTGCTTTGGACCGCCTTGGACCGCCCAGGTGGGTACGGTGAAGATGTATAACATCCGAAGCAACACCGGGATCCTCATGGTGTCCGGATATGACGGAGATGTCAGCTTCAGCCGGGCTGCTGAAGGGAGGGAGGGACAGATATGTTTTTTGTTATGGATGAACAGACGAGAATGGACAGGGAGGACGGGAGGAATGGGCAAGGAGGTTACCCCTTTTTCACTTTCCGAGCTTGCTGATATGTTCTCTATGTTGTTCCTTTGGAGGTAATAGACTTTGTTTGTAAAAAAACGTGATATCAAGGGCTTGATGGCTTCCACGTGGGCACTTGATTTGGGCTAAGCCAGCTGACTATGCCAAGCTGACGAAACCTGCGTCCGTCCGAGCGGACCTCGACGCGATAGTACCTCGACGAGGTGATCTTCAAAGTTGGGGTACCAAAAGGACACCAGTTCTTCTGATGGACAGTGAAACCATCCCAAGGTGGGCAAACCATCCCAAGGTCCGTCATGGTTCCATGGGAAGTGGAGGGGCCTGGCCCCTGTTGGGGCCTGGAAGAGAGTCATCCAAGGGTCCATGGTCCACTTCTGTGCTAGTGAGTCGGAGGGTAGACGTTAGATTCAAAACCATTCTGGTAGGCGGCCTTGATGAATCAACAGTCTACATTACCTGGAGTTTGTTGGTTGGCTGGTTGCTCCGTCCTCCGCCTTGTGAGGAGATTCTTCAAATTCTACCCATCAATGTCGAACATTTGGGTTAGAACACAGAAGTGGAACACACGTAATCGTCAGTGGTTCAGGGCAGTAGCCTAGGGCCTAGGGCTTAAGGAGAAGGTTCAGGTAGTGAATTGCAAAGCGGTGCAAGTCACATACGTAAGTAGCAGATGCTAGATGCACCAAAAAAGTTATCTTGCATTTATTGTTCAATCTCTCGTTTGTTAACATATGTTAACATCATTTGTTGGACACCAACTCTGATGTGTGTGTGTTATTTGTTCTGGACTTGTAGGCGGGCTGCCAGACTTCGATCTTCGTTTGCACCTGCACCTAGGTGCCTCTGATCCAAACATCATGGCAAACGGCAGCTGGACGGCCACACGAGAGCTAAAACGGCACGGCCACACGAATAGGAGGTCAAGGGAACTTAGGTGTCGCGCTGGTGAGCATGTGCGTCTAGAATAGGCCGTTCAAAACAGGGTCTCGCCATGTGCCATTTGCTCATCACAGCACTGCTGAATCCATCCCTTTTGGTTTTAGCGAAGGAGGGCCTCGAAAACCTCATCGGAGATATGCTGATATGCTGATCAAACGGGTTCCTTAATTCTGTGTACGTGTTATTTGTCCAGTGCTTCTTCCGAGGGGTTGCCTTATGTCAGCTTGTTCTTCTCCCTCTCTTTGCGCTCATAACGATTGCCCCACCTGTTGCGTTTGATCCTCCCCTTCCTCAGCTTCAGGAGTGTGTGAGAACACTGTAGGAACAGGGCCTTGAGTGGCTCAGGAACCTACCAACACTCCCTGTCGCTCCGACCAGATCCCCAAAATCACATGCCCTTAACATCCCTTAGCCAAACATGTGTTCAATGAGACATCCACTAAAATAATCACTGCCCAATTCTTGGTCGTTTCCAGCATCTTGCAGAGTTGTTTTTGTACTGTTTATAACGCCTAGCTCAGATCTCTTAGTCTCTTTTACAGACGTTAGATGCTAGGAGAATCACACCGGAAGATCGTCGCCCTGAGATCTCGGGATGCCTGACAGAGGTTCCGACAAAAACCAGTGAAATGCACCGCAGTCGGCGGAGATGGCCTGAGGAATGGTGTCCTTTACGCCCTTGAACTCTGAGGGGAGGCTATTGGCCACGAACGCACCTGGGATCTGGATTTTTGGGACGTGTGACAATGCTCCACTCCATGGGCAGAATCGATTGAAGAGATAAACCGACATGGACCCATCTAACCACCTCAATGTAGGCCGATGATGGGCTAAATGTAGAATGTAGACTCTTGATTGGTAAAAGCTCCCAATTGACTGGAAACCTCTGCATATGGGGGCTGTATCAATCAAGAGTCTACATAATATGCCATACATGGAGTGTTTGGGTGTGGGAGGGCGTCCGACGTTGGACAAACGCTTCTCAACCGATTGTGAGAGTCTCAGTACACGACCCTGCAACCACAAGGAGGTTCAAGGCCCTTTGTAAAAAGAACGACAGCTGTTTTGGAAGTGCAACCGTTAGGGCCTAGTATTTCTTGGAGATCGGCAATGAAGCAATGGAGACCCTCGGACCTCTAAGATGGTACGGTATGCCATATGCCCACTCTAGTGTACTCTGCAAGTCCGGAGGACATTCCCATGATCCGTGATCCGTGGGGTGCACCGCCGCAGCTGCGCATGCGCAAGAAGGCACATCATGCACACATGGGTGCAGATCCTCATTTGGATTTGAAAGGAACCGGGTCAGCCGCTCAAAAACACTCCAACTTGCTGCCTGGAGGGATGAGGTGTATGGTGAGGTTTTGGTCGAGGGTGTTAGACTCTAGGAGCATGGCTTTAAACAGCGTTTGATAAAAGTCCAGTGCAAACATTGGTGAAGCCAAAAGAAGTGCACAGAAACCGGTTGCAGGTGTTTGGGACCAACTTTGCACTTCCTCGATCCTGAGAGAAGACAAGTGGAATAATAGGACCGGACACCCTACAGGAACAACCTTTACACTCCCGAAAACTCACCTAGACCCTGAGAATGGGACCCGGAAAGGCTGTTGTCCTCTACCAACCAGTGGTTTTCAGGTTCCATGGGATCGTCTTCCAGGGTGTAAACCATGCTGAACCCAACCCATGCTCGTTTTTCACGGTGTAGTACTTGATGCCCGTTTTGCCCGTGTTTGAATCGAGGTGACACCGATCGCCAACGTGCAGCCGGCTTTCTCAGTAGCTTGGCACAAGCTGGGTTGTTCTCCGCGAGGGCGGAATTCGGCATGCACTCATGCACATGAAGAGAACCCGGAACCAGGTGGGGAGACAAGTAGAAACGGAAGATCATAAAACAAGAGGCAACAAGGTCGTGTGACAACATGGTGAACAAAAAGTTTCAACAGCCAGCATTTCTCCGGAATCAACCGGCAACACGACAAGGTTATTGAATCCAACACCACAGTCATTGAGGGATATTGAGGGTTTATTAATTTATACACCACCCAAACTGGGTGAGGCTGGAAGATGTCTCTTGTTGAGTTCCACAGGGCCCTGGGCGCTTTGTTCCCCCATGTTTCCTCATGTTTTCCCATCCGTTGATTCGAATTCCACCGGGTTTGCTGCAGTTTCCGTTTGTGATGCGATTCACATGCGGATGATGCAAAAATTGCCCGAGGAAAACCGGCTTCGTTCGGTTCTTCAACATTCGAATCGACCGTCCTCGCGAGAGTGAAGTTCTGGCCCCCTTCGCTTCCAAACTCTCCCGCCCCTCGCGGTACTATAAGTGGCTAAATTCGGTGTCCGAGGGATTCAAACATATTACTTCAAAAAAATCATTTAAAACATCCATTCTTCCGGCTCGTTGGTCGAAAAGATGTGACTAAAGAGCATTTGGGCACCTTTCCCCCCCCCCAAACACAGATTTCCCACTTTCTTCACCTCGACCTTCCCTCGCACCGTCTCCGGCTCCATCCCTCGCTGGCGCGAGGGCCGCTCGGCGATTCCCTCGCGGGCGCCCAGCCTTGGAGGCGTCGGACGATACGGGGGAAGACGCTTCTGTGATACGCGGACGCGGGTGACGTGGGGAAGGTGTCTTTTTGATATGTTTATAAACACATGAGTACTCGGCACATGTACCTTTTAGGCCCTATTCGGCAGTGGACCTACTTTGTAAGGTCCCAGGACTTGTAGGGTTTTGTGTTGCTTATTTGTCTGATGCTTTTTTGGTTCCACGGGGTCCATGCGTGGGTGATCGTAATTGTGTGGGTCATTCGGTGAACGCGGTCAGGGGGTGATTTCAAGTGACGTGGAGCCGGAGTTTGACGATCTATTCCCACTTAGATCTATTGGGCAATTTGCGATATTACATATAAAAATATATATTATACAGTGGTCAGTATAATGAAAGAGGTGACATAGACATATGAAATTATAGTGAAATACATGCAATCTTAGTTGGTTTCCACCACACGCATACCGAAAGATGTTCAAGGATGCGTTCTCCTAGCGCGAACCTTGGGAAGAGGCTCCTCCACTCCTCCACTATTGGATGCTGTAGCACAAATACTGCCATCAATAGTGGATGTTGGAAACCAATATTGATGCTGCAACATGCCCTGCTGTAAATGGAAGCAACAACCATCCAACATCCAGATTGTATTATAATATAATACATAACCCAGATGTTGGATGGTTGTTGCTTCCATTTAAACATCAATCATTGAATAAACCCACGATTTCCCCAACATGTTTCACTCATTATATCACGATCCTCAGGTTGACGGTCCTGTTCATCGCTTCGCTCATCATCCGGATGTCGTTCGCCAGGTTCGCCCGCTTTTCAGCGTGCCCTTCACGAAGTAGGTGCCGAGAGTCGTAGCCTTTTCGTCGAAGGCCACGAGGTTCAACCTGGAGCCCCATGGGCCTTTGGGTCTGACTGCTTCGTTCTTTGATGGCGTTTTCCGTGCTCCTGAAAAACCAGAAGATAGGGAGTGGAGGTAGATCTCTGACTTGCGTTAAGACGTCGATCTATACTTCCAAGTCTTCGACTGTTTTTTTGAGGCATCGAAGGTGGCAAGCCTTCGAAGAGACCGCGGACGGAGACACCCACGGGACAAGTGGGATCTGGAACCATTCGGAGCCCTGGCGGGCGGTGACCGGACCGGGTCGTTCCTCAGGGGGTGGTCGTGACCGGGTGACCCGACCCGGACGGGACGGTGGGTGGCAACGAAAAAGTGGTGCGGCGGTTACTCCGTAGACTCCCGATGTCAAGTCACGACCCTGACGTCCTGTCTGGCCCGTAATGGGTCCGTGTGTAGGCTCCTCTACCAACTCCAGTGGTTTTCAGGGTCCATGGGATCGCCTTCCACGGTGTAGATCTTTTTGGAGCGCTGGCATACCCTGGCGGCAGTGCGGCAGTAGTTCTTCTTTCCCCAGTGATGTAGAATGCCATGTCAGCCGTCGGTGATCAGAGCGTATAAAAGGAATATTATGATGATTTATGATGCTTTGGTTCTCGTTCAGTCTGAGAAAGGCAAATGAGAGCGTGACTTGGATTTCTCACTGTTAACATGGAAGTGGATGGCATGGTCCACTTTCCTTGACGCACAGGGGGTTGCCACCCACTTCCATTTGATGTGTTCGTTGGAGTGTATACCGTATCCGTATACCGCAGAAATGGATCGGTTGGATCCTGTAGGTAGTATCCATTTGGCAACCCTTGCAGCATGGATCTTTGGGTATGTTGGGATACCTGGTAGCCGTCCGTGGTAGCGAGGGCCTAAACAGGAACCGGTGACATGGCCGCGCAAGGTCGAAATGCCATGAAACAATAGAGAATCATAGTATAGAGAACATGGCCACAAAAGCATGGTGCCTTTGTCGGATGGCATGTGTCACGTGTAGCTGGTGTTCCAGCTTTGATGCAATCAAGTGAAATCAAGTTAAGGTTCAAAGCTGAGGACATCAGACCGCTACGTAGCAGTGGGGAGGGTATCTCAATTCGACCTGCACATTGATTTTTCTGATCCTTTTGGATTCCACCGGAAGCAGAAGGCGACGCATGAAAAAGGCAACCCTGCGCCCGGCAGTTTCTTCAGCATCCGAATCTCCCAGGAACTTTAGTGAGCAGAGGGGTTTTGGCTTCATCACCTGCGAAGGCTGGACTGCGACCGAGACCGCTGACCGCGATGACCGATGACCGAGACCACGGGGACCACGGAGAGACCTCCATTGATCCGATCCCGTGGTTGACCATAGAGTCACGTCATGTAGAAAGTTGATGAACATACACGCCGGGTATTTTTCAACATGGAACCTGCGACCACGAAGCTGCTGAAGGACGATTTGACCTGCAAACGAATCCAGTGACCAGTGGTTTTTAGGTTCCATAGGAACTTTCCAGGGTGTAACACCCCCCCCCATTTGGGATTGTAAAGTCTCTTCACGCCATAGAGTCTATGGTTGATGAACCAATGAGTGTACATGATTCGGGTGTGAAAATTCTCCGTTGGGAGGCCCCGGTCGCCCTGGTCGTTTGGGGTTGGAGACCGGTCTGGGAGGTCTCCCCGCGCTGCACGGCACAGCCAGGAAGATGCCCGGCCAATGCCTTGTAGAAAAAGCAAATTCAAATGTATGCGCGTTTGAAGCCAGTTTTGAAACCCTAAATCCTTGTATAATCCGTTAACATGTCGCGTGTTCAATAACCTAGGCAAGTGCAGACTGGACATGAAAAAAACACACAATTTGTGGACACACCAAACGGGGGTCTTTGACTTCCTCACTACGTTGGGTTTCGGTGGTCGCGACGCCACGGATCGACGCACCGAACGGGCGTAAGAGCCATGGTGGCGTGTCTACGCGCCGAGGCTTTGGGCGGGTTCAAGCGGGTTTTATTGCCATGTATATATAAGTCCCAACCCTGGGGTCTTTGGTGTAACAAGTGGCGCAACGAGTCTCAGCCAGCGTGATCTCCGCATGCCTGCGCCAGGCATTGATGAAGATGTGTTCTTTATGCGAACCGCTCTTCCTGAAGGGCACCTTGGCCGTGTTCTTTACAGCACGGCCGTTTTTGGTCCTGTTTTGTTCGGCTCGACGCACCCAGTGGCTGCCTTCATTTGCATGAAGTCGACTGGAATTCTGGATGGGGAGAGGCCTGGCAGAGGAGGAGTTTCGACTTCTTGATGTTTCAACCTGCTTGGCTTCACACAACATGTTCACACAGATCTCACCCTACGAATCCGGCCCTCAACCCGGGCTATGGAGGGCCTGAGGACTTTTAGGGTAGAATATGTATGGGACTGTAGCATATAATTGTACAGGCTTGCCGCGTGCTTGAATCACAAGGAAGTATTTGAAAAAGAGGTGCGCCTCAAAGCAGGTCAAAACCAATTCCGTGGTTTTCGATGTGGTTTTATATCAGAGCTCCTAGATGGCCATCGGCTCCTAGAGCTCCTTGTTGGGCTCCTCTCAGGCAGCGAGACCTTCAGAATACCGACCTGCAGAACGCTGCGGTGGGGGGCCACGGCTCGCCCGCCCCGTGACGTCGTCCCTGGACTCCTGCAACCCCACGGCTAGTGGGGGGCAACCGATCAGGCCGTGGGCCATGAGGGGTCAGATCGGCAAATATGCCAGTCCCATGGAGTGTTTGGGATAGGTACCAATATTCGCACAAAGATCAGATCTTGGTGATGAACAGATCTCAATCCAAGTATAAAAGAAGGAGTAAATGAACTGTGCCAAGCTTCAAGCTTCCATCCAAATTCCGTGTCAGACTCAGCTGGTCAGCCACTTGGCTTCGACCCATCCACCAATCCAGGATTTGACTGGTCCGATTCCGTTGATGGAAGAGGTCTAAGACACAGAACACATGAAAGACCCTTAAAGGCAGGTGTTGTTTCATGCTGAGAGGGGAGGTGAGCCTTTTTGGGATTTGCTGCTGATCTCGCTCCACAAAACAGGTTCGCAGGTTTTCTGAGAAACTGCTGAGGTGAACTTCGAGATTGTGAAGACTTCTGAGGGAAAGTATCGAGCTCAAAACATCACCTTCAGCTAGGCCGAGAAACCGGGTGTGATGACCTCAAACCCTTCAAAACCACCGACCGCAAGCACAACATGTTGACTAGATCAGGCTGCACCAGGTGTTCCATGTCACAATGTCGGAGTGCCTAGTTAATTAAGCATTTTTTGTAATATAGAACCTGAAACCACCTGTAGTGGTCTTCACGACCCAGAGGCTTTGGTTTTTATATACTGTCATATGTTAGCTTGCTTTAAAGAAACAAGCGATCAACCACACTAAGAGTGTGCTGGCAGCAACTGCTGATTTGATTTGTTTCCTTTGGCCTATGCAGACTAAATCTTGTCGCACCACCCAACACTTTGATCTACAATGCTTCTTATGCTGTAGACACTGTAGACGGGTGGCGTGTCTGAACTTCAGTATGGCCCAGCTCTGCCAACCCATGATTTGGGGTTCTTTGGTAGCTTGGCTTGCATCCTTGTCCTTAAACCCTATCGAATATAAGGCCCGCATAGAGACCAACGCAGAAGGCCCACTCTGGGCATCACCCCGGTCCCTCCGGGCTGTCCCAAGGGTGGTCGCTCAAGGTCAAACTGGTCCAGACACTGGCAGACCAGGCAGATAGAACCCACGGTGGAAATCGGTGGAATAGGGGAATGCAGAAAAGCTGGATCAGGCGCGGCTGAGCATGGCGGAAGACATGGCGGAAGACATCTTTGCTTTGTTCTTTGAATACTAGTGTATTCCACCGAAGTAGGTCGTGTTTAAGCACCCAAATGCACACCTGGTCTGTCCTGGTCTTCTTTTCGTCAGCTAGCGAAGTCGCGCTCAGCGAACTCGCAAAAGCCAGGTTGACCGAGCGATCCAGCGACCGGCGTCGGACCTGCAGACGACGTGCAGACGGCGTCGAGTGACGAGCGCACTCGGCCAGGTGATGAGGCTATAAATAGAGCGAACGAAGCCAGCGGTCGGTCGTGCGCACTGATGAATGTGATGGTTCGAGGTGGGTGAACAATGAGGGTGAACAATGAAACTTCAAGGAGGTGGTTTACTGAGTTCATCTTGGGTGTTCTTTTTGCGGAGGGTTGGCTTTGAAGGCCTGAACTTGAACCCATGTGTCTCCCCTGGTTGTCTCCCCTGCTTCGCGCTACGTCTCGCGCTGGTGGCCTGCATTGGTCGACATTGGATATGACAGAGCTGATGCTGGATGGTGAGCATTGCTTCCACAACTGAGGTGATTGAGATTGACATGGATTTGAGCAATCCTTCTTAGTTCTGCCTGTCTGGAGGGTACACCACATCTGTCACAGTTCCGGCGAGCCGGCTCCGTGATCGAAAAAGGCCACCAAAACAAAATGACCCCAACCCTTTGCCAGACATGCACTTGAGGGATCACAAAACAGGGGTGCCAACTGCAAGTGGTATTGTTGTATTGTGCACTCTTTGGAATCATCATGGAAGTGCAAAACTAATCAAAACTACCTGTTTGTAGAGGAAAACGGTCATAGTCATGAGCCAATTTCCGGGGAAGCCTTGTGTGTGTTTGATTTTTGTTGCATTGGCTTTTGCCTCAGATTGCCCTGTCTCAAGCTACTGAAACGCCGGGCTCTTCCATGTTCGATCAAGAGGTATGGGTTTTCACCATGTTTTCACCACCCATGAGGCTCTGTCAGTCGATCCTCCGGCAGTGCCACACCGGCCAGGTGTGGAGGGACATGCCCTACGACGCCAAGAGTGACATGTGGTCCTTGGGTTGCCTGGTTTTGCTTCAGGTCATTCTTGTGTTTCCATGGGTTTTCCCTCTGTGAAACGACTCCGTAGCATGGAGAATATTTCATTCCGAAACCAGCACATCCTAAGGTTGCGTTTTGTACGAGATGGCCACTTCACCGCAGAGATTCGGCCAACTCTGGGCTGCTGTGGATTAGCTCCATGACAGAGCAACAGATGAGACACCTAGTGAGACACCTATACATGCGAGAAGTTCTGGGGTTTGCTCAATGTATAGGTGAAACTGCCGAAGTCTTGTTGCAGACTTTCAGGCTGATTCTATAGAGAAATTCCTTTTTCACAGTATACTGAGTTTTGAGTACAAAGGTTTCATCATCGACTACCTCGTCAACGAGCAACCCGGAACATCTCCAACCCCTGGTCCCGTTGCCCCAAAAATGGCGCCTATACTACTGAAGAGCGCGCGGTTGAACGGCCACATATCCCATACACTCCATGGGACTGCCATATTTGCCTACATTGACCCCCCTGGCACCACCCCTGGCCGTTTCTCAGCAGTCTGTCCTGGCAGTCCCAGACAGGTCGCGTCTGGGTTTCGCTTATCCTAAAGTGTACGACGGCGCTAAACTGGGTCCTATGTCGGTCTCCGACCCTCTTCCCGGCCCCCGACCTGCTGCGTTGGGCTGGCTGGCTGTCCTGACCGGTGGACTGCTGGCTGGCCGGTGGTGGTCACCCAGACAAATGCACTCCACAAAGGGTTGCTTCGTCCGGGGGATTGAGTGTTTACCATCAAAAGCCCTTGGACAAGGGAACCTTAACAGAACAAGACGCATTTGTATGCATGTTTAAAATTAAAGCTTGGTCAATCCGGCTCCGATCCCGTATAGAAGAGGTGTTCATGATAAAACTCCTGGGACACAAACATCACAAACACTGGCCGATTCCCAACCGATCGGTTGCAGTCAAGCTCTTGAATCTAGGAGATCACTTCCAACCCCCTTGGATCATGGTATGTTACCGGTATATGATTCAAAACTAACATGCCGAGCAATCCACACCTTCCAATGGATCTGTCTGGAGACCTGTCACAAATAGACACAAAGGAAAAGAAAATATTGTTGCCCCTCATAAATATATTGATTAGAATGTCTATGGACGCTTTTTGACAGCGTCAACCGATAAAAATATTTATGTGTTAACAAGAATTTTACATTGAATAACATAAAGGGATGAAATTTATATAAAATCACCTCAATAAAATAAATTGCGAATTCATAAAGATATAATTACACTAGCACATGACCTCCTTTCCATATTTATACTGGGTGCAAGTGACCCAGGATTAGGCGGACATAGCTGCAGAAACACTAATCCTAAGTCATTAGGAAATGTTAAAATTTGACATTTTAGCACTAGTCCTAAGTCATCAGGCTAAAACAATGAAAAAGCGGCCAAGAATGGTTAGCTCCGGAGATTCTTTAAAAGAGTGAAATTCACTCACAGACTGTGATGACGTAGGACTAGTTGACAGATTGCAGATGCCATAAACATCATGACTTAGGAGAGAGAGAGAGAGAGAAAAAAAAAAAAAAAACTGGGATGGATCCTAAGTCATCAGACATTAGAGGGTATTTGCTTGTACGCATTCTTGAATAAAATGAATAGCAAAAATGTCCAACTCTTTGCTCTAACAATGTGATGACTTAGGAAAAGAACATGCAAAAAAACACAACACAACAGCCTATGTCATCACCCTGTGTCACCCCACAGTTTGGACATGTTTTAAGATATCTTTTCAATCATCTGACGAAGGCGCCTGGATTTGCCTCGTACAGTAGTCCTAAGTCATCAGCATTTAGTTGGGACAGGGTTTCTACCGTGCACATTGCCGTTCGCTGATGACTTAGGAGTATGGAACAGCTGAACCTAAGTCACTGGTGACCACAAGTCCTAAGTCACTGGTCCCCAGCATAAATAAAAGGAAAGGATCATGAAATATAAAATGTAAACGAGGGCAGGGATTTCTTGTCATTCATTTTTTATTGAAAGATCTTTGGCATGCAAAAAAGAGGATTAAGAAATGAAATCAAGAGCATAAAATAAATGAAAAGATATCCTAATGCCAATATTTTCCAGCTCTTGGAACCTTCATATGTTTGTGCCTGGCTGTGACACAGCCAGGTGAGCAATCCACACCTCGCATCCAAAGAATCAGCACACCAAAACCCCGACGAACCAAATGCTCCACCGCCTGAGCGGACGCGGAACGGACCGTAGGTGGCCCTACGGCCTCCTTTCAGAGCTGAAGACATGGAGGGCCTGTGCGCCGGTGGGACATGTGGTGCTGAGCCCCACCGGGAGCTGCCGCCTTTTTCGACACTCCAAGGATCCCCAGAGGGTGCAGAGATGATGCAATGTAGATGATCAGAACAGTGGAAGATTGTTGCAGGCATGTTGGAGTGGGGTTTTCTCACAGATCCACGTCTTTTCGTTTCCGTCCAGGTACCACAAAGTGGTCAGAGGTCAATATCCAAGAATTCCTGCTCATTATGGCGGCATTCTCAAGAGTCGATCGCAGAGCTTTTCGCAGAAACGGCATGCCCTCACCAGACTATGACTACACAAATCTTGAAAGAGGTTGTAACATTATGCGACATATTGTGACATGAACATTGCTTTTCCCACCTTTCCCACGTTGCAGTGCTTTTGGACACGTTCTGATCTCGAAAAGGCTCAGCTCTTCGCAGCAGAACCCCCCCGAATCCTCCACTCAGCCTGGCAACACGCCTCGCAGCTGGACTCGACCGTTCAACGACGGACATGTTGGTCGGGTGGCGTCGTGTTTTCAGGTCAAGATCTGGCGGATGTGATCGCTGCATTGTTGCAGGCGCGCTTTCCAGAAGAAAGGACCGCAAGACTCAGACTGTGAGAGGACTTACTGGGGTGGAGGATGTAAATGGGTGTGGCTGAGGGGGATGGGTGGTGAGATGGGTTGGGGCTGACTGGTGATGGAGATGTGGAAGGAGTTGATAGGAGGGATCCCCGCTCAACTATTCTCACATCAGATCACACACAAGTAATGTGGCATTAAAGGGTTGAAGATTGTTGAAGATGTTCCCTTCATAAATAGACTCATCAAAAGTATATCCCGGGAATCCATTCGTGGGAGGCGGTGAATCTGTACTTGCTCTCAGGAGCAGCTGGAAATCAGGCTTTACTTCTTCTGTGGACCCTAATTACTGACTAGTGTGTATCAGTGTGTGTGTGTGTGTATCATTGTGTATCCACATGGAGCATGCAGCGACTGGAGCCACTGGAGCTGTCCTTTGTAGCGACTG